CTTTGTAGATCAAAAAAAATTTTTTGTACTGGCGGAAACAGGCTTCCATACCTTTGTAGTATAGCCACAAAGGTTATAAGAAATGTTTTTTCAAAGCAACCCATCATTTCCACCAGCCAGTCACCAGGGAGCTCTCATCTGCTCAAAGTCAAAGGAGTGGCTACCAGAGAGAATGGGACAAAGAGAGCAAAAACCAAGTTTAACATCAGTTTGGCTTTTTGAGATGGAGAGTGTTAAAGGCAACCAGAGGACACAGATTTGATTCAGATGTGGGCTTATCCTTCTGGATGCATTAGCATCTAATGCTAACACATTTGTTTTGGTAACATTGGCAATTTAACACGGTCATGATTGATTTTGAATTGATATGACTTTAATCTGGGAATAATTTGAGCTTTGTGTAATGTTAGTACTTTGCTAGCCCCGTCTGAGACTATCGCCTCACTGTCAAACTCATCATTTGACCTTGTGCTGCTGCAATTCTGCCTAGAGCCGGGACTTAATGGTAGCTGAGGACTGGTGGCTACATTCATTATTGCTAGGAAACAGGGTGTGTCAGTTGTTTTGAGTCTGACTAGACCCTGTAGCGGCTGAAAATGTAGTCAATGCACCTTTAAGTACTTCATATAAACAGCAACTTGTGGGTTCGGTAGATGCAATTTCAATGTAGCTTCCCCAGCACAGGACATAAATCATGTGCTATGTTGCAGCAATGTCCAATATGAATGTAATTCATAGGGATACTGGGCTGCTTGTTTTCACAAAGATGGAATCTTTTCAACCTTATAAGGACCTTATTCTGTGCTTATGAATATAAATTTAATCCTGGGATAGAAAGAAAAGTCCAGTGAATAAATACACTCATACTCAGAGAATATCATACCATTATTTCAAGCTTTTGCTAATACCTTCTCATAGGCACAAAACTCTCTTGAGAAAAACAGGAATCTGAATGACTGATCTTGAAAGGAAAGAAGAATGAGCCTACTTTTCTTTGCAGCTAATAGGTTTTTATTCAAGGACTCTCCATTTGTCCCAGTGGTCTCTCTATTTCCTCTCACTCCCGGTCTTGCTATTGCTCTTGTGTGCAGTATCAAATCTATGCAAGTCACTGGGGAGCTGTAGACCTTTACCTGCTCTGGTTTGACTGTGCTAAAGGTCAGATATGAGAGGATCCCATACACTGATCTCAGATGTCAACATCGCCCGCCTCGCACAGCTTGGATTAAGAGGAAAGGAGATGATGGCTGCCAGGAAATCAGTTGTCCTCCAGGCTGTCAGTAACAGTCTGTATCTCTGTCAGGGGTGGTGTGTGTGTGTGTGTGTGTGTGTGTGTGTGAGAGAGAGCGAGAGCGAGAGAGAGTGGGAAGACATGTATATGCACGTGTGACTCTAATATCAGTACCCCACTGATCCTCCTCTCCCTGCAGTGTTTCTGCACACCTCTGATTGCTAGATGTGTATGCATGTGCGTGTATGGATTTATGGTTGTGTAGGTGTGTGTAACAACCAGGTGTGTGTCTCAGTCTCTTGCTCGCAGTGAGAGATTTCTGTGTTGACAGGGCTGATGATGTTTATTTTGGCAATATGCTGTTTGGGGCGGTGAGACACTGGCTGAGTGTGTGTGTGCAGGAGGGGTTATGCTCCATGAAATGCTGTGTGTGCCAAGTTGTGCATCTGAATTGCTGTTACACCCTGAACACAGCAGTCTGTATAATCTGTATAACAGGCATAATCGGGTGGTCTAAATGGGTGTGCGTGCATGCACTGTACGTGCATGTGTGGTATCCTCGAAAAGCCCAACGGGAACCAGGCTTAATTGTGGACCCACCCACACGCATATACACACACAGGCTCCAAACCTCTTGTACAGCCGGGTAAACATCTTCCAAACTGCGTCTACTAATTTGCATTAGTGCAAACATTTTTATAAGATGAATAACAGACTGCTCTTGTAATTCTTATATCACTATGACCATTGAATTGTTTGGCCACTGTTGTCTTGGATGAGGTTTTGTCTGTGAGATAGCACCCTACAGCTACATACAGCTGCTAGACAGTAAAATCAGTAACTGCTACCTCATCATTTATTGCCACCACAGGGAAACAGGGAATTTGTTTAGGTGTCTCGTATCTAACTTGGACCCTCCTGGCGCACAAACACAACATACATTTTATTCTTGGGCAAAAAAGTCCTTCTCTGCTTAACCATTTAACAGCCACCCCTGTTTTGGGGACTGTCTGGTACATACTGGATTTTCCTGATCAAGATTTTTTTGCCCCAATCCTGATCCATCCTTTTAAAATTAATTATCTGCCAATACCTAGTCTGTTCCTATATTTGTCTTTACTTAAAAGTTGATTAATATGACATCCTTTATCTTTCACGAGCTATTGATCCATATAGTGTAGGTCCCGGTTCAAACATTTTAAGTCCATAAGCTTTAAATTACTGTTGAGATCAGAGAATGCAAATCCTGAAATTGACGTGATGCGGTCAAGTGGAGAAAAGACATCACTCGGTTGGAGTGACCACAGTTTTCAAAGTTCTAGTGCTAGCATCCTGCAGGCTGAACAGTGGGTGGCAAAAGTTAAATTCATACTCTGTTTTACATCCCAGGATTCCCCATGTTAGGGGTTCGCTGAATTAAAGATGAGATTTCAAACAGCCATGTCACCATGTATGTATACTTTGTTTTGTTAACACACATCAGTGATGATGAGACATTCTTTTTTAAAACTTCTCTTTCTCTCTTTTCTTTATTTCTATAACACACATCTGCATGAGCCAGATAATTTTCAAAGGTTTTCAGCCTGGTTTGAACAAACTATTATCTTTCACCTCCATGTAAAACAGATTATAATACTGCCTAAACATGACCTGTTTGAAGTCTGCTTAAAATTGGAGGCTGTTTGACACCGAGGCTCACAGCTGTTAGTCTTTGATGAAACATAACTGTGACCTGCAACAAAAGATGAGGTATAACGAGTTGCTTCAATTACCACACATATCACACAATACGACGTACAAAATGATGTTCCCTGTGTATCTTTCAGCCTGGAGATGGATTGTCAAACTATCTATAGACAAGAGACTCTGATTTATACATTTTGAAAATTAATCCATGCAAATTCGATTAAAAAGAATGTGAAGCCAAGCATTTGCATGAGAGGGCTTGTATATGTAAGCGTGAAGATGAATGCCATGAACATGTTACAGAACAGGGGACTGGCACATTTCAAATCGCATGTGATGTTTGAAAATTATAGATTTGCTCATCTAATTTGCAAATGTAGAGGTGGCAGCACAGATGCTTACAAGAGATGTCACACTGACTCCTGCTAATACAATCACTGACTGAAGACCTCAGATCACAGGCGTGTGGGAGAGAGCACATTGTGTCTTTCATTAGTAATTTATAACATTTGTATTGGCTTGTTTTGGGGGAAAGGTGATTTGTCATTTTGTTCGCTATTTGCATGCAAATGTGTGTATGTATGTTTGGGTTCACAATTTGCCAGTCTGAGTTTGTATAAGTGAAAACTGTCGAACGTTTAAACTCTGGGGAGGAGAAAGTGTCATGAATGCAGAAGGAAGAGGGGGAGGAATAGAGGGATGTGGTAAAGGTAGAGAGAAAGAAATATATAGGGAGAAAAATCCCAAGTGAGAAAGCAGCCTGTTCATTAGCAGCACAGGAATGTGTGTGTGTTAGTGAGAGTGCATGCTGCTGTGTGTGTACACTGTGTAGCAGACTAACTAGGACACATTTTCCCACATTGAAGCAAAGTCAGATTTTTAACAATATTCTTCTTATCTAAGTACTTTTCTCATCACCTTTTTTTTACCTCTGCATGAAGTTTTCTGTTTGATGCATTCCACAGCATATCAGCATGCAGATCTACTTCACTGCTGCTGAGGTGCTGCAATGTTTGAACATGAGTACACAGCTTATATACACTGAGTTTTCGCCACACTACATCACTGACTTGTCAATTGTCATTCCTCAATAAAAGCGAGTACACGAGTGGTTCCATCTCAGGAAAACTTCACGGTGAGAGAGGCTAATTCAAATACATCCTGGAAGCCATTTGGCTCCTTAAACCTGCTTAATTCCCACAACCAGCACCCATAATCAAAATACTGACCTCTTTACTTTTACTGCTGAATATTGCATCTTCTAAATGTTACTTTTATTTGCTGCAGCATTTTTTTCAAGGCAGCAACTGTTTTAACCCTCAACTGGCTCTGAGCAAGACAAAAGACAAACTCGTGGATCCCTAAGATAGACATACTCACCTCAGATGTTTCCAAATTACATTCATAATCTTGGCTGTATGTTTTTTGGCATTGTGTTAAAGTTGCAGATTGAATTCAACTCAAGGAAGGGGACTGCAAATAGAGACTCTTATGGGTGGCTCTGTGTGTGTGTGTGTGTGTGTGTGTGTGTGTGCTTCCCTGATTGTGTATGGGAGAGATGTGTTACATTTGAGGAG